TAATGCTCCCTCTTCATAGACAACTCTAGTTTGTGTCAAGTTGACACAAAACCCATCGGCATATGGGCTTGCCCGTCCCCACACATCTGTGCACCATGCCCTGACCTCCAAGCCCTTTCACAGCACCGCCCTGCTAACCAGCCCATCCCCAGCATCCATGGCAGAAGCCCTGGAACTCTTAGGGTGACGGAAGAATGGATCCTAGGACAACTGATGGGAAGGGACAGGAAAGTGTATGTCTATGTGGAGACACAGCACACATGGGGCTGTATCACCTGTATGTACTTCTGATGTGTGCACTGTATGTGCTGTGTGTCTATGAGTGTCTATGGGTCTGAATATGTTTTGTGCAAATATGTGCATGTCTGTATATGTCTGTGTAGTCATGTATGTGAGTCTGTATGTGCATCTTCTATGGATGTAAATGTCTGTGCCCATATTTGTGTGGGAGCATGTGTGCTATTGTCTGGGTGTTCATTATCTGTGGGGTGCATATGCACAGGCACACACTACACAGTTGGTTCCATGCCTCACCAATGTTGTTACGAATGGGCCATGCTGTTTTCTGGACTGTCAGAAACTGAGGACTACTGAAAATATTCCTTTGGAGAAAAGAAAGGGTGAAAATGAATCCACCTGCAATCTTAGCACTTGGAAGATGGAGGCAAGAAAATCACAAGTTCAAGGTCAGACTTAGCTACATAGCAAGTTCAAGGTCAGACTTAGCTATACAGCAAATTCAAGGTCAGACTTAGCTACATAGCAAGTCCAAGGCTGACCTTGACTACATGAGACCTCGACTCATTAGAGATAGATAGATAGATAGATAGATAGATAGATAGATAGATAGATAGATAGATAGATAGATAGATGATAGATAGGTAGATGATGGACAGACAGACAGGTGGTGGATAAATGAAGTGCAGTAAGAAGACAGTGTTTGGTTTCACTGGTCATGAGGATCAATTCCACATATCCTGCAGGAGGAGTATGGAAGCCTTGCCCTGCAATCGTGGTCTCAGGACTAGAGGGTAGGTACCAAGAGCCCTACCCCTAACCCATGGTGCCAGTTCCTCCTTTCTTGTGGAACTTGGCCCAAGGGATTCAGGAGAGGCACTGGGGTCCCTTCCATGTCTGGAATGTGTCAAGAATCCTAGCATCATGTCCACTGAAGGGGTGAGGAGTAGAAATAGGAGCGGCGGGGCTGCGTCCCCAGCACCCCGGCCGCTTGGCTAGCTTAGGCCCGAAAAAACAACACACAAACTGTGTTCATTTAAATACTGCTTGACCCATTTCTATCTAGCCTCTTCTAGGCTAATTCTCATATATTAATTTAGCCCATTTCTAATCATCTGTGTAAGCACCCCAAGGTGCGCTTACCAGGAAGATTCTAGCCTCTGTCCATCCTGGGTCGGAGATTCCTGGGAGAGGGGAGCCTGGCGTCTCTGCTCCAGAGAGCAGAGCTGTCGGGTCTACCCGGGAGAGCTGAGCATGGCGTCTCTGCTCCAGAGAGCAGAGCTATCGGGTCTGAGCTCACTTCCTCTTCCTCCCAGAATTCTATTCTGTTTACTCCTCCCACCTATGCTTTAACCTATCAGGGCCAGCCAAGCAGTTTCTTTATTGCTCAACCAATGAAATCAACAGATTGATATGACACTCCCACATCAGAGGGTGGACTGTCAGGGTTCAGCAGGGTTGACTGAGGGCATACTTGTCAGAGTTTCTGTCCTTCCCAGTTCCCATAATCATTAAGTCCCAAAGAAATCACACAGAGATCTATATTAACTATAATCTGATTGGCCCATTAGCTCAGGCTTCTTATTAACTCTTATAACTTATATTAGCTCATTAATCTTGTCTATGCTAGCCATATGGCTTGGTACCTTTTTCAACGGGGCAATCACATCATGCTTCTTCTGTGTCAGGCTCACAACTGCGTAAGGAGCTTCCTTTTTCCCAGAATTCTCCTGTTCTCATTGACCCACCTCTACTTCCTGCCTGGCTACTGGCCAACCAGAGTTTATTTAAAATATAATTGACAGAACATAGACATTTGTCTGACACAGCAGTGCAAGGGGACCCTACTTGCTGCACTCCCTACCCCCCTCCCCAGAGCAAAGGTCTTCAGAGTTCCTGGACTCTGTGTAGAGGAGATATATGGAAAACAATCCTAATACCCAGGCTTGTCCCCAGGCTGTGAGTGGTCAGTGGAAAGTTTCTCCAGTCTTCTTCTGGGTTCTCATCCTGCCCTCCCTCCTCTTCTGGCTTCAGAAGGGGCTCCTTCAAAGAAGCCCCCAAGACTAGACCAGGGGCTGCAGGGGGCCTCTTTCCTGCCTCAGGACCCCAAGACTCTGTACTTTGGCTACAGAAAGGAATTCCTTCATCCCTGCAACTGTTTCTAACATCCAAGACCTATTCCAGAGATCTGTAACCCCAGCCTGGAGATCTGCCATTCTTGCTGGCCCCTGGGTAGCATATCCGTGCAGAACAAACACACGGAATGCATGGGACTGCTCCGGCCTGGCATTGCGAGGCCTTCTGAGAGTTTTCAAGCTATAATGCTTGCTGGCCATCTCAGGGACACCCCAAAGCCCATCTATCAAAAGCACAGGGCATCCTCTCCGCTGGGCACCCCAAAGCCCGCTGAAGTCTCAGAGCTTGGATGCTCCAGCCTCTCTCAGTTGACAGTGTCCTGCTTCCTCGATTTCTAGCTTCCCACTTAAATTGTTATTTCTGCACGGCACATGGACCTCCTTCTCTTCCCCTTGTTACCTATCCATCCCATTCTTCGAAGAATCCAGCCAGAGATAGGATACACTGTCCATGACCACTTGAGACTGACCACATAGGACCCTAGGGTGGGACCCCATCAGGATTCAGTTAATCTGAAAACTGGGCATGAGGAGAGAGGAGGGATGCACTCTTTGCCTCTGTGCCCAGTCCCACCCCTTTACCCTCTGCCCTCTCTTTGGTGGCCTTCTTGGTGGCTTCCAGAACTAGCCTCTGACCAACCCCTGCCCCGTAGTCAGAGTTCCTGGACCCCAAGGAAGTCTCGGACCTCAGGGTCATCACATTCCTGGGCTTCTGGGTGGCAACACAGGACGGCCTTTTGACCTCCTCCATTCCAAGCCCAAGAGCCCTGTTTTCTCCCTGGGAAGCCACCCCGACCGCCTGCCTGTCACACCAGGACGACCTGAGCTGTGCCCATTACTCACCAGAGCTAGTATCTCCTAGAGAGGCCTGTGCTAGGAAGGACCTAGAGGGAAGGTCTACAGCCTGGCTCACCCCGTGAGCCTCAGTCTTTTCATCTGTGGGATGGGCATGAAGACAGGTACACCTGCTTGACTGAGAAAATTCCCTTCTGTGCCTGCTGGTTCAGGCTCCAACCCTTTCAGAGAAGACAAGGTAACTCCCAGAGCCCTGGTTTCCTGGTGTATCCCTCAGGATGTGGGACAGGACACCTGGCAGGCAACAGGAATACAGGCGCACTATGTCCCCACCAGCTAGGCGCTGCCTCTCCGGAGGGCTGGGTCTCTTGTAGATAAGTGGTGTTCAGAGAATGGTCAGGGAGCCTGGGGTCCCTGAAACCCTCCTCAGGAACTGGGAGGTCAGAACCATTTCACCATGTTGTTAGGCCACTATTGGTCTTTTTGTTCTTTTTTTTTTTCTTCCCAAAGAGACAGTCTCTTCCAAGGACCTGTCACAGCAGAAGGAGTGACAGAAAACAGCAGAGGCCAGAGCCTTCAAACCATGCCAAACAACACTACCTAATGCTTACTTTAGAAAATGTCCTTCATTTCCACACTCAGTGTGTCATTTTAGTATTGTTATATGCGTGGATCTGTGTTTCTGAAGTGTTCTGTTTTAACTTCTACTGTGTAAAAATCAAAAGGTATAATGAGTCTGTACAAAAGCTCTCTGGGGTCCTCAATCATGTTGAAGAGTGTCAAGAAGTTTCAGCACCCACAAGTGTGTCGAGGCTGCCCCCAAAGCCCCACCGCTGGGCTGCACTGAAGGTGGCCATGCTTGCTCTGATCAGCTGACTGCAGACAGCTCCGTGGAGCAGAGAGCTGGGTGCCAGGAAATTTTTCTCCTCCAAGAAGCTCTCCATGCCCACAGTGCACCACCCACAATTCCTGACTTCAGTGAGCTCACACAGTACCAGTGGCCACAGGTGTCCCGCCTGGTGGCTTCTGCGCACTCCTCTCAGAAGCCACAGCCCTCCAGGATGGCCCATCCGCCATCCTGTGGTTTCAGAAGGCCCCTAAGGCATTTGTGTCGCCCAGAGTTCCAAGCTCAAGCCGGCTCTCTCAGAGCCAATGAGGATTTGTGTAGGTTCTGGCTTAGAGCATCCTGAGAAGCTCCCTTCTCAGGGGAACGGTCAAGCTGGCGGATGAAAGCCTGGAGGGGCCTCACACCTGGACAGATGGGGACAAAGTTCCTGTTTTGGCCATTTGAGCTCCCGGACCCAGCTCTGCCTGTGCTCCACAGCCACTGCGGTCAATCCACTCCTTGTTTTATTCTTTGAACTTCTTTTCAGCTGGGAGTCCAGACGAATAACAGTTCGGATGAACAGGATGAGGGGTGGGGGCCACTGCTTGGGCTCCCAGAAGCATCACCGAAGACCCTCACCTCTGGTGCTCAGGAAAAACCCCTCTTGCCCAGTGAAGACACAGTTGAGCCCAAACACAGCTAGACCACAGCCCTGGTTCGTGTTTCACGGTATCATTTATAAAGCCATACAATGATTGTAAGAGACAAGCGGCTGTACAGAGGGGGTAGCTTCTGTGTAATACATTCATATCCGGAACACTTGCCATACAACAGGGTTTATACAAGGTGGCGGAGGCTATAGGCACAATGATACAAAATATAAAGTATATTTCCATCTATAAATACACAGCAGAGGGCTGGGGGGCAGGGGGTGGGGAGCAGAGGGCTGGGGTGGGGGGCAGAAGATGGACTCTAGGTATGGGTCTCCCAGAAGAGGGCCTGGGAGGCAGGGTTGAGATAACAGTATATAAGGAACTTCTTACATTTGTTTTGAATGAAAGAAGGGAAGAAAGAAAATGGGGGAGATACCATATGCACACCCCAACGTGCCCACACACATACGAGCCAGATGTGGGCTCACAGGGAGGACTGGGTTGTGAACACTGACGAGGAGACACATGAGTGTGTCGCACTTCCATGGCCTTGCTGCCGTGAGGGGCCCAGGCATGGAAACCAACTGAGATCCTCCAACTTTTCAGCCCTTTGAGGAGACAGGAGACAGCAAGGAAGAGGCCTGCAGAGCCTTATCCCGTGTGGCTATCTCCTCCATTGCCAGCACTAAAACACTACTTAATCCGTGGACCATCAGGCCTCACCTCCTGGTTCTTCTCACTACTGGGTTGCACTGAACTTGACATCCCTCCATCTACCGCCTCCACCTTCCACTCGAAGCTCCCTACAGAGAGCAAACCATGCACACACACCCACACTTGCACACACACACACGCACATACATCCTGTCACCACTGACCATGGAAACACCGATCTCAAGATCTTCTGCCAAGGCCTATGTGCAGAGGTGGCCCTAGCTTTGGGTCCAAGCTCTTTAAGGACCAAGGCATAGAGGCAAGAGAGGGCTGGTTCCCTTGGATGGATCTCCCCAAGATCTGAAGCTGGGGAAAGAGAGCCAGAAACCCCGGGAGGTAGGACGGAGAAGAAATCCAAAGCAGGACGGATGTTGTTTACTGACTTGTCTCTCCTGCATTTCCCAGACAGCACAAGGAACCTGTTTCATCCCTATTCAGGCCTGGTGCAGGGTCTCTCCCTCTCCTGACAGCCCCTTTCTAGAGGGGCGCACAGCCACAGTGTCCTCTCTACACTACAAGACAGGTATCTCCAGGGACTCTCCAAAGCCAGGGTGTACCAGAAATTCTGACAATCGTGTCCAAAACTATCTAAGCTGCCAGGAAACGTACGTTCCAAACCTCAAATGTGAATTCGTTCCTCAGACAAAGCTGGACAAGGGAGCCAGGGGTCCACAGTAGCACAATAGAGATTTCAGTATCCAATTATTAGTTTTTCCCAGCCTTCCCTTAGGGGCCGCCTGTCTACTGTATTCTAGCCCAGCTCTTCACCCCTACCCCCTGGAACTATGGGGGCCTTCCCTTTCCCCAAACCTGGTTCAATAGGTGTCCCTCTCTGTCAGCTCACCTCCAGATAATCCGGGAGGTTGAGGCCACAGGCCAACCTCAGCAATCTTCTGAGTTGCCAGAGGCAGTATGGACCTGGGCTGTAGCTGAGGGGTCTCACTGATGGCATCACAGGCTGCCATGTTCGTCTTCCTTACCCCTCCTTCACTCACGGTTAAAAGCAGACAGCACTCTCCCTGCTCACATACAGACTCAACTACACAGAACAAAACAGATCACACACAGAAAACGATGGGTAGAGAAGCATTCGTGTTTAAAGGAAATCTTTGGCAAGAATAGATTGCATATGGAGGGGTGAGAGTGCGTGTGGTCTCTGTGTGTGTGCACGTGTGTGCACCTGTGTGTGCGTGCATGAATGTGCAAGACCCACCTGTGAGAATCACAGTGAGGAAGAGGGCAGACTACAGTGCGGTTCCCAGTGTAAGAACTGAGGCCCCTTCTCCGACGTCCTTCCAAAAAAGCCAAACTCAGGTGTTCATTCCTTCTACAGGCATGCTGGGAAGGAGGCACCCACTTCCCAGCATCCACCTCGGTTCTTCACATGACTCACACATGGCTTGAGAAGGTGACACCTCGTGTGAAGGTTGACCCCAGACTCGAGGCTGACTGGGGGATGGCCTAAGGCAGGGTGCAGAGGCTCTGATGTTCCTCAAAGGCTCGCGTGAACATTCCAGCCGGGAGAAGCCTCCTCGGGCTGTGCGGCGGGATGGGGGTATTTACAAAGAAGGGGATGAGGGAATTTTTCTTCTAACCTGGGAAGAAGTGGGGTTCATTTGAGGAATGAAGAAAGTGGTAATCGAGACATTAGCGTTGACTATCTCAGAGGGAAGGACACTTTAGAAGGACCTTGATCACTAAGCCCATTTATTCTTTGGGAAGAGGGACCCAAAGGGGCCTCTACTCATGATCCCCACTCTTCTCTCCAGCTCCTCTAAACAACGCCCACACAGTCAAAGCTCCCCAGAGGGGGAAAAATCCGAGAAATGCACACAACCACGGCCATACACCTGCGTCCCAAACACATGCTGGCTCAGACCTGGGCGATGGATGCAGCCATCCTCACATCCAGGATGTGGGCAGCTGGGCTACTGCTTGCCAAAACTAAACAGCCAGAGCGTGTTATCCTCTAAGTCCCAGACTGAGCATAGGGAGGCCAAGACCAAGGCCAAGGTCAAGGCCAGACCTGAGCTGTTTGGGATAAAGACACCTGCAGTTCAGGCTCTACTTACAGATTAGGAAAGAAAAGGAAACAGGTTGTGGCCAGGGGCAATAAAGCAATATGGGAAAAAAACAATAAATATTTCTTGTCAATTTACCTATTCTTTTTTTAACCTTTTCTTATATTTTTATTAGCTTACAGATTCTATCAGTATGTCTCATGTATATATTATATATATTTATATATCAGTACAATACCACCCCTAGGGACCTCCTTGGGTTTATATGGAGGTCTGAGTGGTGAGAGGGGCCTTCCCAACCCCACAAATGGACCATAGGACCTTTGGCCTAAATTCATACATTCTGTCCTCTGTCCCACAGGCAACATGGTTCTGCTGGGGAGACTGAGGCAGAAGGGGAACAGGGAAGCTTTGGCATTGTAGGAGGACCACGTGGTTCCCCAGCAGCATCCCCAGAGGTGCTCCGATGTCACCCTGGGCAGCCCAGCCAGAAAGGGATCCGCAACCGTCAGATCCCAAAACACAGAGAGGAAAACGGGCTCCAGACCTCCCCAGGTGCCCTGGGCAGGATTTTGGGGAGCAGGCTCCTGGGATAAGCCAACATAAAGACTATGTAGGACAGGGTAGGTCAGAAAGGCACAGCTCCCGTTCCCCAGTGGGCCTCAAGCAGGTGAGCAAGGACAAAGCTAGTGCTGGCACTCCCGGCCCAGGAATCAGGCTGCGAGAAGGGAATAAGGCAGAGTTTTGGATACCATCAGTGCGCATGCCCAACCAACACTGGACACTATCAGTGCGCATGTCCAACTCTCCGCAAGCCAAGGAAAGACGCCACCCTTCCCCAACGGCTATCTTTCCCAAAACCATGGGCATCGCTTCTTCCTCCAGCCCAGCTTCAGTCTAGGAGACAGAGCAAGGCTAATGCAGCAGGCGAACTTTGCCCTCTGTACCAGGGTCGCTACCGGGGACAGGCTGGAGGGCCCCAGGGCCACTAGAGGGCAGTCGTAGGAACAGAGAGTGGACTCGGCTATGCTCCTTCAGGAGACAGCTTGTCTCTGCCCTGGCGCCATGCCACCTCATATCCCTAGCCTTCTTTGGTCAGTGTGTATCACAAGGGTCACAGACAAGCAGAGCTGTTTGTAATTCGAGTGGATAGAGGCAGGTATCGATCAGTGATCAGTGCACGGGGAGAGGGGGAGCATTTTACACCCTGCAACAAGAAGTCAGAGCAAGCACAGACCATGGGTGCCTCAGGTGAGCAAAATATAAAAAAGTGTCACCGCTTGATGTCACACGCTGGTCACTGGGTTTAGCAACCTTACCTCCAGAGAAGTAGGTTCAGCTTCTTCTCTCAAGGCAGGAGGGTAGGGAGAACAGGCTTTGTCACTGCTCTGTGAAATCTGGTCCCCCGCCACCACCAAAAGAGGCCTGTGTGTTCCCTGTGGGGGCTCAATTCTCTCAGAGGAAGAGGGGAGACCGGGCCCCCAGCTAGCTGGAGAGGCTTTGGGAGGCGTGGCTTCCATCTGTACAGGGGATTCTGAGTTTTTTTCTTCCATCCTTGCTTTCTCCTCCTCCCTTTTCCCTCCCCTCCACCATTCACGTCCCTCTCCCCCATGTTGCACTTCCTTCTTGCCCTTCTCCACAGTCAACCCAAAAGTCCTCTTTCTGGATTTATGGTGGTCAGGATTCACAGGTCCCTTCTCCAACACGCCCCATCCCCAGTGCCCCAGCCTTGGTCAAGGACTCCAGGATTCATCTCTTCTGGCCAGCACTTAGCATGACCTTGGAGACGAAGTTGACGATGGCAGAAGCAGGCTGGTTGGGGTCAAGCTCTGCGAAGAGGTGGCAAGCGTTGTCCGTGGTGCTGCCCTGCTTCCGGGCCACAAAGCCAAAGAGCCTAGAGGGGGCAGGAGAGGGGGCCTAGGTAAGGAGTCCAGGCTCTGGAGGGCAACCCAGGCTGGAAAGCCTGCTTCGGGCCAGCCTGGCTTCCCCACCCCCCATGCCTCTCCAAGCATCTAGAACTGGGGCTAGCTCTTAAAGCCAAGTCCTGGGACAGTGTTTGCTTTGTTTCAGGGAAGGTGGCATTCCCCTAGGGAGAGGGGGCGGGAGCTGAGCTGGGTACAAGTGACAAGATGGTTAGAAAGGGTGTAAGGAAGAAACCAAGCCAAGCTTCCTGGGTTCTTTCTCAGCCCCACCCCAGTCTGAGGGTTTCTACGGGATACATCTCCCAGGTGGTCAGGGACAAACATAAGCAGGTCCCCATCTCCCCTACTCTACCTCTACCCCTCCCCCCCTCTCTCTCTCTCCTAGCTAGCTCTGGGAGCTGGGAAGCCCTGAAAATAGGAGGGGTAAGGAACCCCACACCTATCCCCTGCTCCCCCGACACCAATGGGACTGACCCAGCATTCTCTCGCCCTCTGCAAAACAGGGTTAAAAGTATGAGAGCAGGGAACAGAATGTGAGCTCAGAGCCCCTCCCAGCCGGCGTGTTGCTAATTAGAGCGAGATGGGGAAATCGGGACAGCTGGAAATGCCGATGGAAACCCCTCGGCCGGGTATGCATGGCACCCACAGCTAAAATTAGCCAGGCTGGCCTCTGCCTGCCCATGTGTGTCTGTGCACGCATACACAAACACGCCCTCTTCACACCTACGCAAGAGACACACAGTAACTGTATATCCACATAGCACACACATGATGAAGAAACCACACACACACACACACACACACACACACAGAGCCCTGTTTGTCAAACAGCTTGACTCTCTCTACTCTGTGGTAGGACCTGAAGGCCCGCGATAATGACCGGATGAGTCAGGGTACTTCCCTTTCCAGGTTGACTGTGTCTGTGGAATGGCATGTGTGACCAAGGCAGGCTAAAGGACATCTCTGAGTGCCCAGAATAGAAACACACAGGCCTATCTCCCTCCCTGTGTCGCTAGGACAGAGGCCCAGCCAACTGGGCCTGCTCTGAACGTTGCCATCTGATACGCCAGCAAACTCTGGTTTGTCTGATGTCTGGCAGTAGCGTGAAGAGATTCAGTGGCATAGGGAGGCACAAGAATGTGAGGTGCCTTTTGATCCTATGAAGGTTACATAAGGCCGAGGCATCCTCCCTCCTACACAGCCCCTCTGGAGTCCCCTGTTGATACAGATTAAGATTCCCAAGCAAGGTGCTCTCTCTTTGGCCCACTCCAGACACTTGTGGCCTCCATTTCTTCCTTCAGCAACTGTTAGCAACTGACAGACCCACCCTGTCCTTGGGAGCCTGCAGTCTGAGAGTCACACAACCCCTTCCTCTGAGGTTGCCTCCCCTACCCCTAAACCCATTTCTATCTAGCCAAAATGCACCTGTCACTTAAGCCCATTTTTAAGTATTCTTTCTTTCCATAAAGCCAACTCCATGCCTAGACACATGTCTCTGTTAGCAACAAGATGTGGGCCATATTCCCTTTCTCCTGATCTCAGAGACCTTGGTATACAGGCCCTCATCAGACCCTGGCCTAAAGCCTGTCCCCGTCCCTGGTCCCTGTCCCTGACTTCCCCACAGAGTTCAAGGGTCAACCAGCTCAGTGCAGGGGAAGCCACACTTACTTAGCAGGGGCGCCTCCCTCTGTCTTCATCCACCTGTGGAAAAAATGCTTGCGGTAAGCCAATGTGTCTGTTTCAGGAGCTCTGCCAAGGGAAGGCAGAGGAGACCCCATTCCAGAAGACACATCCCTAAGATCACACACAGGATAATCCAAATGGAGAGGATGCTGCAGCCCACCTCCCATGTAGGGAGGAGACACAGCAGAATGAAGTCTGTGGAAAGTCCGCAGGTCTGGGGAGGAGACTAGAGTGGTTGTCAACATAATGGTTCTCAGTGCACAGGACAAACCATCGCTGTGGCTGAGACAAGAATACACCAGCACACAACACACACATACTTCAGGGGAGAGGAAGGAGAAGCCTATAAGATACTTACCTTCATTCTCCCTTTCCATCTCCCTCTTGGAGAGGCAGCTCCTGTCTCTCTCTCCCCTCCCCCTGCATCCCTGCTCTTCTTCCTTTCTCCTTTCCCCCTCCAAAACCCACTAAATAAATATCCAACCTCATTCTGAAAAAAAAAAGATACTTACTTTCTTTCTTGTGGATCCAGGTCACAGAAGGTGACAGTATTGAGGGGGTAGTGCCGTCTAAAGAAGAGCCTGCGGCAAAGAAATCAGAGGGCCAGAGTGAGTATGGGAGTAACTGCTTATTCACACCTGCCACCACCTGCAGGGCAGGCCACCTTCCCATCACTGTGCCTATCATGGGTTCATAAGCCTCTCCTTATGAATAAGATGGCCTGAGAGTGTCATACCAGGACTTAAGCCCCACACAGGGACAGACAGATGCGCCATATAACTGGAACTGAGAAATGATAAATGGGGAACTGTGGAAGAGGAAGGAAGTGGGCTGAGAACAGAGCTCACAGTGTGAAAGCCTCTACTCTTCAAATCAAGGACCTTTCTTCATCAGTATTCTACATGCTCAAAGCAGGCCACTTCTTTAGAAGTATGGATAGATGAGTGGATGACGTTGGATAGAGGGATGCATACATGCTTTCACAATGTATGGATGGTTTGGTGAATGAACAGATGTATACATGGATGGATGCAAGAGTAGATAAGTTGGTGGGTGAATGGATAGGTGGATGGTTGGTTAGGTGGGTGGGTAGATGGATGAACAAGTGGGTGGATGGGTGGAGGATGGATGGATGGATGGATGGATGGATGGATGGATTCACTTTGGATGCACAGCGCACAAACAGGCAATAGGTACAGGGATCGTCAGAGCATGTGAACGTGGATAAATGAGGGTTGGAGGAAAAGATGGGCAGGCAGGCTTACTTTCTCTGATTATCAGTCAGTGTGATTCCTTGGGCAGAGACCTTGAAGTGAACAATGGTGGCAGCTGGTGTGGGGTCAGCAGCCAAAGTCTCAGACGTGGCTTTGGAAATGGCCTGTGGCCCGGTGAGTGACTCCATATCCACAGAATTAATGAAGAGCACATTGCAAGCTGGAAGAAATGGAACCAAGGAGGAGTCACGGGGGCTAGAGTATGCGGTGGGCAATCCCTCAGGAGCCACGGGGACTGGTATGTGGCAGGCAATCCCTCAGTGCCACTGGGCAGAGGTAGGTGGATAACAAACTTCAGGCAAGCCTTGAGCCAAAACCATTGCACACAAAAACGAAATCTGGGAGAAAATTCCAGCCTGCACCTGCAGGAGGGGACCGGGCAGGAGGTGGGAAAGCAGGCCTGGGCATCGGTTCCATCTTGGGTGACACTTACCTGCTCCTTGCTTCAGCAGGTCGGTGGTTGAGTTGGCAGGGCCTGAGCTATCTTTTGATTCATCTGTGGGGTCTGAGACAAAAATTCAATTAGAGATTAAAGCCCTACAATAATCAAAACGAGTCTGGCTGGGCCAAAGGCAAGCACATGCTTTTCTGCAATGGATACTCTTCTCACAGCGGGTCTTGGCAGTCAGCGCTGCATATATAAAATGACTCCCCATCCCAGCACACTGCTGCGAGGTGCTACAGTCCAGAAGAACTGGGCTTTGATCCCCACTGCAGCACCTGCTAAGTTCCTAAAAACGGATGGTGGTGACGACAATGGTGGCACCCACGTCAGTATGCGGTCAGAAATAGGAATGTGGTGTGTGCCTATAATCCAGCACTTCAGAAACTGAGGCAGGAGAATTGTGAGTTCAAGGACTACTTGGTCTACATAGCAAAAATCAATCAATAAACAGAACAAAACAAAAACAAAAAAAACCCTAACTCTTAAAAAGAATATCAGAAGGAAGAGGAGGAGGAAAAATAGGAGGAAGAAGAGTTGAGTGATATTTGTGTCAGTGCTCATATATGCTGGTACACAGCTGTGCTAGGATACAGACGGTGGGCATAGTCCACAGGTGTGCTGCATCCCTGCATCCCTGTGCTGACACTGGAGCCCGCACCTTGGATCTCACATGTACAGGGGGTGCTCTGTCGTGGGGCTACATCTTTATTCCTTTTCTTTCCTTTTATGTTGTTGTTTTATTTTGTTTTGAGACAGGGTTTCTCTGTGGCTTTGGAGCCTGTCCTGGAACTCACTCTGTAGACCAGGCTGGCCTAGAACTCACAGAGATCTGCCTGCCTCTGCCTCCCGAGTGCTGGGATTAAAGGTGTGCACCACCACCACCCCGCTTCTTTTTTTTCTTTTTATTCTGAGCTCTCTGTGTTGCCCAATGGGACTAAACTCACTCTGCAGCCAGAGCAGGTCATAAACCTGTGATCCGCCTGGCTCAGCCTCCTGTATTGCTAAGGCCAGAGATCTGCAAGCAGCCCCAGGCCTGTATCTGACCCAGAATTTCTTACAAATTTGAAAATAGTTGTATTTTAGCAAGTTCCCAGGATGGCTGCGGCAACTCTAAGCACTGTGCTCTGAGAGCTGCTGGTTTATCTGATATAAATATCAAACGATTTTGTAAATTCCATACAAATATAATTGAATTAGTGTCTAAATTGTGTGGTTACTAATGTTATTGAAGTTGCATTTGAACCTTTAAGCTAATAATGTTGGCCAATGGTAATTAATAATTCAGTGTGTCAAACTGGATGAACAGAAATGGTCACCTGACACTAGAAGTTCTCTCATGTACCAGGATATAATCCTCGTGTGACTGTCCTCGTTCTGAGAATTCAGTGTGAAATTTCTTAAACAGCCAGAGTACTTTTGAGAATAATCTGGTAATTAATGGGCAATTAATTTCCTCCTTAAAAAAAAAAAGTAAGAGATGGGGGAGGGGTGCCCTGTATTGCTTCCGTCCTGGCTCCATTCTGGGCAGACAGCATGAGGGAGTATTTCCTACCTCGGCTTGGAATGACCAGTTTGCAGGGCAGGGCCAGTGGGATGACGGAGTGCTGATAGACCAGAGCAGACAGGGAGCCTGCAGGGAGAGACAGCACACCAAGACAGTGACGAAGAGAGACTGGAAAAGGGACACAGGGAACCCCACCCCATCCATCCACACCTTCCCAGTATCTGTCGCATGTTCCTGAGCCACATCCCAGCCCCCAGCTTCCTCATCACCACTCCCACTGAAACTGAAAACCTGCCCACTACACTGAGAATTCCCAGGGGACCTAACTGCTTTCCTTGATAGCCATGCTCCCTATGTCCCCATCAGAACGGTGACATAAGATCCCAGCTCTGTCATTTATCTAGAGGACTTAAGTGGCACTTACACATTCTTCATGTGCAAAAAAGGGAGAATGACAGCTCCCGTGCAGGATTGCTGTGTCACCAGAGTGACATGACAGCTAGATAGTGACTTTCACATATTGGCAGCCAAGGACAGCCGTCCTTACTGCGGTTATTTTAATGTACTGACAGTCGGCCTCAACTGAGCAAGACCCGGCAGAGTGGAGGAGCCACGGTGCACAGTATGTAACCAGGAGGTGTGGCCAGGTTTCAATAAAACTTTATAAAAACAGCCCCAGTTCCTTCCTTCTGCCCAAGCCATGCCCAGGGGGACTGGCAGCGGTAAGATAGGTATAAGTTGAGCCAGACCTTCTGAGGACCAGAATAGAGATCAGAATGACAAGCCAAGATGCTCACCAAAGTTTGGCTCATTGGGACAGCCCTTGAGCTTGACTCCTCTGGGACCTGTCTCTATCAGGAAGTGCCTCACCAGCTCATGGGTCATGTCTCCTGGAAGGGAAAAGAGGAAACAGAATTGGTCACTCATTGTCAAAGCACCCCCCCCCAAAATACTGTCTCATGGCCTCTGCAGTGTATAGGGTGAGATGGGAGAGAAGGTTACTGAGGCAAGGTGGCCAGAGTCCTGTGGATGAGGATCACCATTCATTCCTCTGTGTGGAATAGTACTTTAACTATGTAAAGATGTGTTACATTTGTTTATGTTGTGAAATAGTACTTTATGTAAAGATGTTTTTGTTACAATTGTTTATATTGTGGAATATTACTTTATGTAAAGATGTGTTTGTTACATTTGTTTATGTTGCAGAATAGTACTGTAACTATGTGAAAGTGTGTTACATGTGCTTTGTTTAATTATGTAAAGATGTGTTGCTGTTCTACCTTGCCTGCCTAAAGCACCTGATTGGTCTAATGAAAAGATGAATGGCCAATAGCTAGGCAGTACCGGGATAGGTGGGGCTGGTGACAAAATAAGTAGGAGAAGAAATCTAGGCTCAAGAGAACAGAGAAGAGAAAAAAGAGAAGTGAGAACTAGGGAGAAAGAGAGAGAGAGATGCCAGACAGCCAGACATGGAGTAAGACAACAGAAGGAAAAAAAACTAAAAAACCCCACATCAAAACATTGATGAAGAGAAACAGGTGAATTAAGTTGTGAGAGCTAGTGGGACAAGCATGAGCTAAGGCTGAGCATTCATAACTGATATTAAGTCTCTGTGTCTTTATTTGGGAACTGGTTGTTGTCCCAAAAGAAAGCCTGCGACACTCTCTTCCATCCCTCCAGGAAACAGCCCACATACACCAAGTTCCAATGACTGCTGTCCCCAAACCACCCCTCACTGTCTTCCATCTTCTAAGGACCATCCCTGGTGGGTGAGGACCCTGCTCAGTACCCAAGGCTCTGAAGAAAGCAAGAAGCCCCAGCCTGGCGGGGAGAAGACACTACCTTTCTTGCCCTGCTGCGTGATGGTTGGAGGGGGCGAGGACACCTTCATGGCCAGCCCATAGGCCCCTCGGAAGGAGTGACTGTCACGGATGATGAAGGCCCCTGGCTCCTGATCCTTCAGGAGTGCAATGGCTGAAATGAGAGGTGGCAAAGGAGTCATCAAGAAACCAGTGGCACTGGCTTGGCTTGAGAGGACTCTCTTCTCTTGAGATGACATTCTTCAATGCCAGGGTATAAGCAAGCACTCCAGAGGGCCCTCCTGTCCCAAGCAAGGCAAATGTCTTCTGCTGATGGCCAGAGAGAGCCAGTGCCATCTGTAGCGGCTACTCAGCACAGCCCCATGACAGGAAGCAGACAGTGTGTGACTGGGAAATGTGGGCTCTGTAATCTCTTTCCAGAAAAAGAGAGGGTCTGTAGGCCCTCCCTGCTGACCTTCCTTCTACCATGATGGACTTTCCTTGTGACCCTGAGGTGGGCTTCACCCTCGGGCCTACATACCAAACTTGGCTTTTTGGTTTTTCTTTCTGTATAATAATGATGATTATGATAGTAATAATAATTATAATAATAATATCCTCCATATCATAGTTTCAGATGCCTTGACTGGCATTTTACTTTGCCAGGGAAAGCCGAGACTTTGCTTGACCACTCCAAGGATCTGCTTCTAACAGCCCCACCCCTTTCCATGGGAAGTGCTTTTTTTCCTTTCTGACTCTGAGCCCAGCCTCCTCTCTGTGACCACCACCTCCTGAATGGAGGAATGAGTTCTTGCCCAAGGCAGACATGGTGCGTGGGAGTCCATGATGTCTTCCAATGGGCCACCAAACCAATAATGCTGTCCCCAACTCACCCTGCTCTCTGGAGATCTCAGGCTTGTACCAATACTTGGAAGTGTCTTGAACAAACTTCACTTTAGCCCGTGTCTCAGGACTATTGTCTAAAGGAGGAAGCAAAGGGAAAGTGTTACCCTTGAATTGCATGCTCCCCAAAAGGCATCAACATCCTAACACCTCAAGCCTACAAATATGGCCTTATTGAAAAGAGGGTCCGTGCAGATGTAATCAAATTTAGACAAAGGCATGACAGACCCAGGTGAGACCTAATCCAATAATGACAAATGTCTTTCAAAGTAGAGAAGTGACAACAGACACACGGGGACTGTTCCAGGTGAATATGGAAACATCTGTGATCCAAAAGACACAGAAGCATCTCTGCCAACATCTGGGTTTTGATCTCTGGCCTTTGCTATGACAGAATCTACCTCTATTAGTCTAAGCTAGCAAGTGTGTGTCGGCCCCATGAAATAAACCAGAAAGCTAGATCCTCAAACATCTGAGAACGTGGGAGGTACCCAGTAGCCTTCTCCCCCAGCCTCCCTCCTGCTAGCCATAGCCGTTGCCTGGCCACTCAGTGGTTAAAGAACCTGGCAGGCATCCCTTCCTCACCCCATTCCCTGTGCCTAGCAGATTCTGAGTTAATTCTCCCCACTTCTCTCTCCTGTGGCCCATCCCCTCTTGATACCCACACTGAAAGTGGCATTCTGTATCGGTATGGTCAAAAGCACTCCATCCTCCAACATCTCGACCAGGGAATGCCAGTACTCCAGTGGCCACTAAGAGGGTGTCACATATAGTCAGATGATATCCTATTCAGTCACTCTGTAGCCTCTTTCTGAAAACACTACATTGTGGAGGGGGACTGGACAAGATTGAGTCCAATGGTGGCCTTCCCCTGGAACTTGCCACAATCCTCCTCCTCCCAGTATGGGGACTATAGGTGTGTGTTGCCATGCCCGGCTCCTTATCATATCTTTATTCTCTGAGCCCCTAAGGTCCTCAACCTTGATTAAGAAATAACTACCGGACTGTTTCGAATTGTAGTTGCTGAACCACACAGCAGAGTGTCAGAACTTAGCCTTGCTTTCTACCGACAATCTTTCACCCTTCCGTCCGAAGCAGAAAAAAAGCGCAAAGGGGCAGGAAGAAGGAAAAGGGTGGAATCCACTTTCACAGTTCCCCAGTCCTTTGTGAGAGACTGAAGCAGAAGACACCATGTTGAAGATGCCACCAAGTTAGGAGAGAAGGGCCCTGCAGCTGCAGCCAGGGGCCTTGGTTCTCAGGGGCACCTGGGCTCTGTCCCCAGTGGCCTGAGGGGACTCATCTCTGTTCCCAGGCGAGGCAGCTAGAAATGCCTCTGCTGCAGGCGCCTGGCCCTTCTCTGAAGCCAGGTCATGGGTGATCTAAGGAGCTGTGAGAAGCGGCTGGAGTCCTGTGTGCCTTCCTGTGTTGACTCCAGAGGCTATTTTAAGTAGGCAAGATGGTGGGAAACAGGAAGTGTCCTCCTAACTACTAGAAACTTCGCATCCTTCAAGGATTGGGGCTGGGAACCAGATGTCCCCAGTAGGCGGCAGGAAGCAGGGGAGTGCAGGGTCACTTTAAGTGTCCCAGCTTGGAAGGACCTGGGAAGGACACAGGACTCAGAGAGTCAGGGTGCCACGGGGCCATCCTGGGCTGTTTATAATTTTCTGTATCTGCCTTGGACACAAGTAGCCTCAGGGCCCCTTCACACAGGGACGAGGGGTCTGGTCGCAAAAGTGCGGATCACCCGAAGCCTTGAACTTTATGTTTAGAGAGTGAGACCAGACTTGGGTGAAGAACTCATCCTGCAGGAAGCAGGTCAGTGCAAACTAGGCTCTGCTAAAGCATCTCACCTTTGCCCTGTCCCACCCGCCCACCTGGCCCATGGTTAACTGATGCATGGGGCTGACAACAGTCACAGAGGTCCAGGACAGCAGAGTGTCAAAGTTCAGTTAAGTCACAGTATCCCTCATCCCTCAAATAGCCAATGCATGCTGAAGACATTCCTATCATGCATGCGTGTGTGTGTGCGCGCGCGCGAGTGCATGCGTGTGTGTGTGTGTGTGTGTGTGTGTGTGTGCGTGCGTGCATGCGTGTGTGCATGCCACAACCTGCATGTGGAGGTCAGAGGACAACCCTGGGTGTCAGATCTTGCCTTCCACCTTGTTTGAGGCAGGGCCTCTTGTTCACTGCTGCATATGCCAGGCTAGCTGGCCTGCAAGCTTTTGGGGACTCTCCATCTCCCATCCCACTACAGAAGTACCGAGATTATAAGCACACACTACTGTGTTCGGTGTTACACAGGTTTTCAGGATCCAAACTCAGGGGCTCATGCTCGTACAGTGAGTGCTTTGCCCACTGTGCCATCTCCCCTGCCCCAAGAGCACTCACTCATCTGGGGGTAGTATGGGCCCAGATTGGAAGTCAGCTCTGTCACTGATTAACAATATAATGCCAGACAAAGAACAGAAACTCTGTGGGCCATAGAGTGTTCCTATATAAAGCAAAGGTAATACCTACTTCCCTGGGGACTGGAGGGTTAAATGAGTACTTAGCTCAGGCTACCCCATAGCATGTGCTCAATAGGAGGCTACAACAGTGATGGCCATTCAAACAGCAGCAGACCATTAGTGCTCATTATTCCAACCTCCATCTTGCACCCCTTCATCACAACAACCCCATCCAGCCATGTTTTAAAGATACAGCTCCTTCTACAGGCAAGGAACTCAGGTCTAGAAGTCAGTGACCCACCCAAGTTGATCTGCCAAGGGATGGCCAGGACAAATGTCCTAACACTTGGGCAGGTAGGAATGTAAGAGAAGAGACACACCTGGCATAGAGTACTTGGAAAAGTCTGGAAGCGTGTGGGAGAAGGAGACTGTGCTGCTCCCACTGGGACTGGACATTCCATTGGCAATGGGTGAGGAGGACACTTTCCCATTGATGGTGGCGTAGTTGGGAAGGCTGCCTGCCCGGTCTCCCACAGACATCCTCCGCTTCTCTGGCAAGGCTGGTGTGGGGCTCCCTTGCCGGAAGGCTGCTGAGTCTGGTGAGGGAGAGGTGGCAGGGCTGCTCAGGCCAGGGTAGTAGGCAGGGGAGACAGGGAAGGAAGGTGTGGAAGGAGCCTGGTAGCCGGAGGCACTGCTTTGCCGGGACAGCGTTGGTCGTCGGTCCTCGGGAGTAGAGTAGCCACCATAAGCTGCATGTCGGTCAAAGCTGGGGCTTCCAGAAACCACAGATCCAGATCCACCCAGGTGCCGGCCCAAGCTGGGACTTCCAGGGCTGATGACTGCATTGCCATGGAGACTGGAGGCCAGATTCCCTTGGTGAGCCCCGGGGTGTCGGCCCAGGCTTGGGCTTCCTGGAGTGGCGGCCACACTGCTGTGGAGGCCTGGAACCTGGTGGCTTCCCACCGGGTGCCGGGCCAAGCTGGGGCTTCCAGGAGTGGTCGCTGCACTGCTTGGGTGGCCAGAAACCACATTACCATGGAAACCAGGGCCCATCACCTGCCGGTGGCTCAAACTGGGACTACCAGGGGCAGCCATGGTGGGATTGATAGCCCGCCGGCCAAAGCCAGGACTAGGTGGAGTGTTGGTGCCCACTGTCCTGTGTCGTGCCTGAGGGCTCCCAGGCACCATGTGAACGGTGGCCGCACTGAACTGAGGCTGGGCTTGGCTCTCTGGAGAAGAGTTGAATGGCTGAAGGGAGTAGTCAGGGCTGCTGTAGCTGCTGCCACCAGCCGGCACCGGTGATGAGCTTCGGTAACTGAGTGCTGCCGGACTCGGCTGTCCCAGGCTGCCTGAGCGGATGCTGGAGTCCAGCATGGGCTGGATGGGTGTCCGTGGACCCTGGTCACTGCTCCCCCCTGATGGGAAACTGCCCACGGAAGTGCTAGAGAGAGAGAGAGCAGGTAGAAAGGTCAGTGGATGGTATTTAATAAAGAGTGGACTTTTGCTGAGTGGACAGCATCCTTCAACCACTAAGAGCAATAAGAGCTCCACTCAGGGTAGAGGAAGTCGGGCTTTTATACATTACATAATGGATCCATGGGAAAAAGAAACCAAGGGCCAGAGAATTTAAACAGTAAGCTCAGAACCACAAAGGCCTAAAAGGCCAGGTTTCAACTCAGCTGCATCCAACTCCAAAGCCCACACTTTCTTTACCGTATTATGCTGACTCCTGACCCATCATGAGTCATAGCAAAGCAATCACCATGGAAACCGAAGGCAACTGTCCTGGTGTAGGCCTTAGCACCACAGAAACTTAGAGAGGCAGTCAAGCCTTCCTACTAGGGCTCAACTTGACTCAGTTTCCCTAGGTGGTTTATCATCCTTGCAGAGGGCTTTAGGTGACTCCAAAAAGCCAAGAAACAGAATCACAGTGGGTACCACAAATTAGGAGATCTTGGCTCATTCGGAGGTCTATCTTCAGCACACACACACACACACACACACACGCGCGCGCGCGCGCGCGCGCGCGTCTGCTCACTAACGGCACAAGCTGCCTCTGCCTGGTCATGAGGTTGCTGTGATGTAGGCACAGGCTAGACCCAAAGCTCTGCTCATGGACGATGTGATGGAAAAGAACAAGGTTGCCAGGGACCAGGGTAAGCATCCAATAGAGTGAGGAGGCAAGTAGCTGATGCTTAGGAGAGCCAGGGGGAAAAAGGGGGCCTTACCGAGCGCAGGGCCCCAGGTACAAAAGGGTTCCCTTCCTGTCTGGCTCACTCAGGACCAGGAGTGTCTGTCCACCAAGATGCCCCTCCCTCATGGGATGCAAGCCTGAGTAGCCCTTGTGCCTACACCACACACTACAGTTCTCTGTCCCTCTGACCTACATCTTCACCTCAAGACATCCCGTCATCCTTCTGGGTTCCTGCAAGACCATCATTTTTCAACGTCCTCTTTACCTCCCCAGCTAGAAGTAGCCGCCCCCACTTTGTGCTCCAAGCACTCATTTCTGGTCCAGTGCAGGGCACAGGTGGCTCTTGTCTATACCCATCACTCAGGTCGATGGAACGGAGAAAGACGTGACCTCTGACACTTACACCCATAGGTTGAAGCCCGTTTCTGCTACAGCTCAGCTACTGCCCCTTTGAGCCTCAGTTGTCTCTTCTGAGAAGTGGGAACAGAAAAGCTTGGCACTTGGGGCTACGGCACAAAGCAGCTAACAACCCGAAGCTTTGAGGAGAGCAGCCTCCTGCATGTGTGGAGCTTTCTGCACTCTGGGTTATCAATAACAGAAGGACTATTCACTAGTTCCTTTCTCTCAGGTAGAATGGAGCACAGCCCGAGAGCCTCGCTCACCACCTCGACTCCCTAAAGTTGGATGCCCAGCAATTCCCTCTCCCTAGGCCTGGTAGCAGTCTGGATGGGATTTTGCCCATCTGCAGTCTACACAGATCCTCCGCTGCCTCGGCCTCAAGCCCAGATTCTCTTTCCGTGCCTAGCTTACCTGTCAGCACTGAGGATGGGACTGCTTGTTGAAAGGGGGCTGGGAGAGACGAAGGAGCCAGCCGGGGTCCCGTTCCTCAGGGGTGTCTCATGTCCATAAGCATGGGCAGCCGGGGCACTGAAGCTCTTGGGCTCGACATCTTGAGTTCGAGGTCCTGACACCGCTGTCCTTGCCACAGACTCCACATAGCTCCGGGGCTCTGGGAGAAATAAAGGGACAAAGAATGAACACAGGTGTGGTAGGAATCCACCCACCCTGCCGGGGACTACAGTACCCCCAAAGTCCGGCCTGGGAAAGAGGCAGCATGAACCCCCCCAAGATTCCAGGGGTGCTTTACTGAGGCTCCTGTTTGCCCATACTTCCCAACCTGAGGCAACCTTTAAGGGGCACTGGCTTCTCTAAGCTCCGCCTCTGCATCCAAGGCCACCAACATCTTCCCCTAAAGACTTAACCGCCTGTCCATGGCTGGCATTCCCTTTGCAGTCTCATTTCCACCCAGCCCTACCCAGGTCCCCAGGTGCCCAAGCTCCTTGAACAATTCCAAAGCTAACACCTGACTTGGCCCATGTCTCGGGACAGTACCCAGCTCGCTCGTCAAGCAACACCCAGTGCCAGCCACTGAGACTCACCAGTCCCTTATTAGCAAGAACCCCACCCATTCCTGCACAACACACTCGGCATTCCTTCCAGACTGATGTAGAGAACCCTGTGCCTGGGTGGAGCCAGACATTCTGTGACCACTACCGTACAGCCAGCACACAGGCCCTGTACAGAGAGGCGTCATACCTAGTGTTCAGAGTAACGTTGGTCACAGACAGGTCATTTGACAGATGAGAAGACTGAGGCCTGAAGAGTAAAATGACCCAGGCCCCGTGACCTCAGAGGCTAGCCTTATGCTAACTAGAAGGGATCAGGGCTCTGGGTTTCTAACGCCATTGCCAACACCTAGGAGCCTGTCACCATCTTTGTTGCCCCAGAGGGACAAGATCTAAGCACAGGTCCCTAGCTGCCACAACCAGAAAATTCACCAAAGCCAGTCTGGGAAATGAAACCCACCTGGGACAGCCAGGCCCTGCAGCCCTTGGGGCCAGGACTACAGTGGCCTGAGTAGGAGAGCCCCTCCCCAGGTTCGCAGGGGAAAGCCTTAAAAGGGAAGGTGAGGTAACTAAACCGAAAGCTTGCTTCCTCACCTGGAGGGAAACCTGGCTTGGGAAGGGGGGAGTTACCTGGGATGTCCAGAAACCAGACGCCATGGGAGGCCCCTCGACATCCACACCCAGCCCCTGGTCACCTGGACATGCCGCCGGGCTGGGGCTCAGCTGGTGGGGAGAACCAGCAAAAGCTCCCTCCAGCTATTCAGGTCACACTCACTTCACAGGATTCCTGGGTCTCACTTCACAGGATTCCTGGGTCAACCTGACATAGGTGTGGACTCTGGCCTCCCCAGGCCCGGCTCTCTGGAAGTGGAGATGACACGATGCCCTATGACACACGCCTGGTCAGCCTCTCCGCGAATAGCTTAGGTGGGATGGTCTGACAGTCTCTGTCGCAATCCCTCAGCCCAGCTGTCATGGTGACAGCGGCCGCAAACAACAGCCAACCCAACAGGCACAGCTGTCTGCGACAGAGTCTTCTTTAGGAAAACAGGTAGTATGTGGACTGCCAGCAGCCACGGAGTACTGAGTCTACCTAACCTGTCCCCTCAGCCCAGGACACAAAGCCAGCCAATAGCCGTGGACAGTACCAAGTCTCCAACCTCACAATATAGGTTCTGGCTGGTCTAAGGGAACCCATAGTCTCATGGGGACACCAACATGGGAGCCAGAGGAATGCCAGGTTCACAGGGTCACCCACAGTGACAAAACCAGACAAGAGTCGTTTAAGACCTGGAGAAAATAAGTGCCCAGCCAGCATGGGGCCCAGGTGGACCGCCTTCCAGGCTGCTGTTACTCAAAGGTCACGAGACCATCCAAAGCTGGGATTCCATCCCTGCCACTCCCTCTGAAAGTTCTCCAAGTCTTTCAAGGTGCTCAGCACAGTTTTTCTTGTTTCTCCATGCCACACAGCCATCCACTCTCACCCAGACAGCCCTGCTATCCTACCCATAGGCTTCACTGGCCTGACAAGGTTTCCTGGCACCAGCCACAGCACCTTGCACAGAGGACTCTGTGTGTCTCTCAGATTCAGAGCCACACGACCCTCCATCCAGACGTCACCCTGTGGAAGCGGTCAGACTCAACACATGCACTCCGCCATCTTCACTGCCTGGAAAGCAGGCTGAAGCCTACGCTGGTGGCACTCTGACTCATGTGCCTACCCTCCCCCACTCCACCCTTATCTGCATCCCCAATGGCTACATTTTACCTACTTACCCCCTAGGCCGCTTGCCCTATGATTCCAGATGGCTTTGACTTTGGCTTTTGGCTGGAGTGGGTGAGTCTTTACTGACAGGGGAGGGAGGGAGAGAGGGAAGGAGGGAGAAGATGGGGTTATAGCCCATCCTCTATTCCCAGCTGTACTAGCTCGCTCTAGGTGGGTAGGAATAGCTCCCACTCCTGCTACTGTGGGTTGATTGGCCCACAATCAACAGCCCAGTTGCCCCACTAGAATGAACCGTGCGCCTCTGCCAAGGTCTCAGCCCACACATCAGGTAAGCACCACACTCTATGCTAAGTTCTCTTTCTCAAAAAGTCCATATTCTGCAGAGAGAAAGCCCACAGCCAGAACAGAGCCGCACCCAACCAACCTAGGCGGCGACTCTATCCCAACTGAGTGCCCACTCCACTTCCCTGCAAACCTGGAATCAAAGCAACTCACCCGCCTAGGATGGAGTCATGTGGGGAAGGATGCATCCTTCCAGTTCATGGCAATTCTGGCTGGGTCCACATTGGTCTTTGACCTCAACCTCCCTCTGCCCTTGCACACTCCCTTCCTGGGGTGGAGGTGCAGGGTCACAATTCCTCCTCCTCCTCTTCTAGTCCCCTAGGGAGCAGCTGACCCACAGGCCACCCAGCTGGGGAGGGCAGGAGAAGTGGAGCCCAGCGAGGGGGAGGGGGTGCTGCATGGATAACATTCCAGGAGCCCAAACCATTCCAAGTGGCTGCAGGCGGCTGAGAGCAAGGGAACACAGGAGTGACTGATTCTTCAGCCAGAACTACCAGCTTTTCACCCACATTCTCAAATACATAGCCTTACTGGAAAAGACCCTCTGGCTGAAGACAAGGGGCCAGCATTGCCCACCCTAATAAGATAAAAGACATGGGGGTGTGGAGAAGGCTTCTATGGTCTAGCACTTGCCTAACCTGCGCAAGGCCCTGGATTCAATCCAGCCCACAATAAATACATACATAAATGAAATACCAAAGACATGGGTGGTGGAGAAGAAAAAAACAAGGAAGCTCCTTGAGCCCCAGATCTAGAGCTAGCATTAGGAGTGGGCCACACATAGCCTCCTCCAAGCCCCGAAGCCCCACTCCATATCTCTGCCTAGACCTGGCTCATGGTAAGATCTCTGCCCTCCCCAGGTACCTTACCCATCCTTAGACCTTCAGGGCCTAAAACAGAGCCACGTGCAAAGCAGGTGCTGGACAATTCTATACCAGGTCACCTGTCCTGATGCCCCCCCCCAACACCATCACCAAGAATCTCAGATGCATCAGAGTCCCCAGAGTCCAACGTCTTCCTTTATAACAAATCTGTCCTCATGGAGTCACTGGGACAAACAGAACCTGGCATGGAAATCCGTTGTGGCAAGCTCTCTCTCTCCTTCCCTCCCAGAGAAGGACTCTGTGAGATGCTCAGGTGCCCCTTGTACTGTGTGTACCCACCAGAAGGGCCAGCCCCCACATGCCGAAATGACAGATTCTCAAATGCCTCTGGTCCCTATGAGTCTGCTTGGTCATCTAACCCCTCCCTTGTTGATAAGATGGAGTCCACAGCACCTTCCTCTCAGCTGCTAGGAATAGTGAAAAATAATGTGACAGTGGCCCCCACATGGCCTGGCTCGTGCCTGTGACTCCAGACCTCATGCACAAACACACATGCACTGGCTCTGTGTACCCATCTTCTTGATTTTTAAGTTTCAGGAAGGGGGTTCAGGGGATACAGCTTAGTGGGTGATGTGCTTGCTGCTCAAGGGTGAGAACCTGAGTTTGGATTCTAGTACCCATATAAAATCTGGGAACAGTGGCGTGTGTCTGTAACCCCAGCACTGGGGGAGAGGGGATGGAGACAGGAGGATCCCTGAAGCTCATGGGCCAGCCAGCTTAGCCGAAATGACAAGCTCCAGGTTCAGCAAGAGACCTTGTCCCCCAAAATAAGGTAAAAAGCAATAGAGGAAGCCACCCCACATGAACCTCTGACCTTCACACACACAACACACACACACACACATATGTGTATATATATACACAAACACATATTTACACATAAACACACACACCACACACACACACACACACACAAGCTGTGACATCCAAGCCCAGCACCCACGTATGTCACTTTCCTCTTCTCTATCTTTCACCAGGTTAATATCACCTCACGGGCATATCCACCCCTCATGTTCTTCTTTAGCCCATGGTCTCTCAAAGCTGTCCCCCGCCAAATGCTTTGTACATAGCTCTTATTCCTATTCATGAAAATGTCCATGAGCTTTATATATATATATATCATATATATATATGATATATATATATATATCATACAGTTATTATTTCCCCAGAGCCTGGCCCGTTGCCTGCTGCACAACAGGCCCACAGAATGACTGACTCAATGCATCGATGAAGAAAAGAACGCCATGAATGTATTTAGCCCAGCAGCTTCAACAGAGCAAACATCCCTCAGATTCTTCCTTCCCCAGCGGAAGAATTCTGCCACTGATCATTTTCCCTCACAAGCCTCTTTTTCTGAATTTCCCATCAAAGTATCAGCAAGAACATCAAGCGTGGCTTCCAAGGGTCAACAAAGAATGTGGCCTGGGCTGACCCAGGAGGTGGCGCCTGAGTTAAGAAATGTTGAACTGGCACCGTGGCCTTAATGCCCTCGCCGCCCACTCCCAAGCTGGAAGCCCAGTCTGGAAACAGGGGTGGGCTTAGACAGGGCCCTTTGACTAGGAAACAGGAGGCCCAGAAAAGCAGTCTGGCTGGGCTGCCTCTTGGCTGTGATCTTGGGTGGGTCCCTCACCCCCACCACAACACAGACCTTAGTTACACAGCCCTGAAAGCACAGGCGTGGCTGGGTGGATCTCAAGAAACCTTCCCTTCAGAATTCCTCTGCTCTGACACAAGGACAAATGAAGGGTAGGAGACTCAGGGCCTTATAAGCCGAGAGTCCTAGGTGAAGCACACTTAGGCCTAACTTCGGCTCTGTCAATATTCACTCTTCTGGATCGTCACCCAGACGCAGAACACAGCTCCCAGAGCCTGGATGCCGAGCCGGTGACTTTCTCCCTGGAGTCTGACAGCCCACTCATGTACTGAGTTGGCCACCCACACCAGGGACCTGGGCCTTTCTCTGCTGACAGGCACTGAGGTTGTGGGAAGCAATCTGGAGAAAGCTTGTCCCTTACATGAGGCTGGCAGAGAGCAGCCTTGACCCCCAACCTCCCAGATCTGCAGCCTCCACATGGGCTGGTTAGAAACCAGCAAAAGGGACTGGAGAGATGGCTCAGCACTCTGGAGAACTTGCTGCAGAGGAAAGCAGGCCTAAGAAAACCAAACTAAGCCCTGTAGAAACAGCCACACAGAACCATGGGCCCAAGGTGGGAACATCTACCATAGCACAGCTGGAGGGGACCTTGGGGTTCACCTGCCTCATGCCCCTCATGGGAACCACTCAGCCAGCTTCCCTTAGTACATGACCACCACGAGTCTTTGCTGAACTTCTGACCTCCTGAGCCAACCTTCTTCTGCCAGATTACAGCCCCTCTTCTTGTCCAGGCACAACACCAGCCTTCCTTCAAACCCAGGACTAGGCTGGCCTCAAAGCTGAGATCAATTGTGAACTTCTTAAAAGGATTTCTCAGTGAGATGGATCCGTAGATAATGGTGCTTGCTGCCAAGCCTGACAACCTAAATCCCTAAGTTCGATCCCTCAGTCAGACATGGTAGAAGGAGAAAATTGATTCCCCTGACCGCCACACATATACCATGGCATTTTTGTGTACCCATATGTAGGTGTGTGCACAGTATGCATGTACATGTGCGTGACACACACAAATAAATGTAACAAATTTTTATAAACAAAATTATCTTTTAAAAAGGCAAGCAAGTGCTTTTCAGAATTAAGCATGGATGTCCTGAGGAGCTTTTGTGGGAGAGAGCCCACAACCAGCCAGCAATTGCCACAAGAGCCTGGGTTTCAGAAAAATATACTTCCTGGCATTGTGCTGACAGGAAACAAGTCACGGCTCTAGGGCTGTGGCTCTAAACCAGTGCTACTGTCCCATTAAGGCTGAAGTCCTCCACAGACTCAGTCCCCAGCTGATGGCAATACTTTGAGAGGCTGGGGAACCATTAGGATGTGTGGAAGTAAGCCATCAAAGAGTGGCCGTTTGAAGGGACTGCCTACCCCGATTCCTGCCTCTTTCTCTGCTTCCTGGTCTTCAACGATATGAACAGCCTTCATCACATACTCCCACTGCCACCAATAAACTGCACCACCATGCCATTCCTGTCATAGGAGACTGAAATCTCCTCAACCATGAACCCAAATAAGCCACTCTTCCAAGTGCTCAGGTCGCTGTCACAGAGATACAAAAGTAGCCAGCTCACACCGACAGTTGATACTGGTTCTATTGAAGGCACTGTTGCTAGGTAAGTGTCACCAACACCCAGCAAGAGGAAGCCCGGCTACACACCTTCAGTGCACACAGCAGTTTCTAGAAGGACCTGCATAGGCTTAAATGTCTGAGTGGCCAAGTGAGAGTCCTGCTCTTTCTGCCCCTCCCTGTCTGCCTCTGTGTACACTGCATACCAGCCAGGTGGTGCATGTGCCCCTGGGAGAGGAAGTGGCACAGGGGGTATTTTTGTCAACAAGGTGGCACCATGCTGGCGCCCGGATACTAGCTGTGCCTGAACTCGTGCCCAGGCGGCATTCAGGCAGTGGCCAGAGTGGCATCTCATTGTCAGAAGGTGGGGACAGGAAGGCTATGTGCCTAGTCACTTGAGAGCAGGTGAGGAAAGAGATCTAGCCCCAGCCGGCCTTGTCAAGCTCCTTGTGAAAAGCCATCCCCAGACCTAGAGAGTGGGAGCCACACACAGCAAAATGCACTTACCTTCTGGAGGCTTAGTCACCTCCTCCCCCTCACCTTCCTCTGAGGGAGGAGAAGACAGGCAAGAGGAGGAGAGGCAGGAAGGGAGGGCAGATGATAAAGATGAGAGGAAGGTCCCAGAGGAGAAAGAGAGAGAGAAAGAGAGGTTATCAGGATTATATCTAGAGACAGAATTTGGTGAAGAAAAGCGGGCTGGAGGCTGGGATCCTCCTCCACACAGGACCCCGGAGTCCAGGGCTGCTGTGAAGCACTCAGGAGCCAGGTCCCTCTCAGCCTCTGCAACCAGGACCAAGCATCAGATAGCAGCATGCTGGCTAGTGAGAGGAGGCCTCTGGCCCTTCATCTCTGTGATGGCTGAGTGTATCTGCCCATGCTCATACGTCCTAAGTGAGGCTGTGTCTCAGTGTCTGCATTGTTCACAAATGCATGTTACACCCTCTTACCTGGCTGGATCAGTCTTCTGGTGACTAAGGAAGAAAGGAAAAGTTGACCCCCGAGAGCTGCAGCTCAGCCTTAAACTAGCTCAGCAGACTCCTAACTGCCATTAAAAGTCCCAGAGGACCCCTGTCTCTCTCCCCTACAGAGGGAACTGGAGAGTGGGCAGGACATAGGGGGATGGGTCTGGTGACCATCCATGTCATACTGTAACCTTCTCCCGAACATGGTCGTCCATCCCATAACCAGTATAGGGGACCTTGGTGTGGTTGGGGGCAGCCCAGAAAGTTCCCAGAGCCCAGCTCCTATTCTTAACAGCAGGGTCAAAGGTCGCCAACATTGGGCATGTGAACATAAGGAGGGGCAGGGTCTGCTTTAGGGGGGCAGAGGAGACCCAGGGCTGATAGTGAAATAACAGGGAGAGGGCAGATGGCATGGCTGCTGGGAGTGACCCATTTCTCAGGCAAAGCTTTGTGTGTGGGGGGTGGGGGTAGTAGCCCAAATACCTAAGCTCTGGCCTCTGATGTCACCAGGATGATCAACATAGGAGCCACTGGACTGAGTAGGGGCGAGGGGGGCTGTCACCAAACAGTAGGCATGGCTCTCTACTACACACCTGTGTGTACGCGCAAGTGCACACACACACGCACGTGCTGGGACACGGCACTAACACAGGGCATTAGGCTTCCAGCAGAACTGGAAGCAGGTCTCAAAACCTTAAGGCCCAGAAAGCAGAGGCAGGCAGGAAGAACGCCCCAAGGCCCGCAGAGTGGCCCCTCTGCATTACTCCAGTGTGGCACACAGGAAGGTCCTCCCAAACCTCTGCTGTGTGAGAGCTCTAGTCAGAACACCTGCTCGGACTCCTGGGTTCTCCGGGCCTCCCACACCATTTCCCTCCCTCCCTTCCGATCACTCACCACCTGTGGGGTGTAGGAGGATGTCAGCTGGATTGTGGGGCTTCAGACCCAGAGCAGACAGGGGTGTCTTGGCCAGACCTGGAGGAGAGCGCACTGTGTAGGAAGAAGATGGAGAGACACTGGAGGTGAGGATACACCATGGTGAGGGTGTGGACTGGCGAGGTCTGGCAGCCCCCTCCCTGCCCATGCTGAGCTGGCTCCCTGGCCCTCCCCTGCCCTCCCCTTGTGCTGCATCACATTTGGGCTTGAGAGGGCTACGACAGTTTGGGGCTGACACCCCTGTCCTGACCTCCCCCATCCTTGAGAGCCGGCTATGGCTCCTCTCCACAGCCACCGTCCCTTTCTTTACCTTATGAAGGCTTATTAACCACAGCCCACTCTTCAGTTGTCTTTGCCTTCTATGGATCATCTTCCCACTTTCTCCTTCCCCAGCATCCTCTGTACACACACACACGCACACACACACACGCACACACGCACTCACACACTCCTTGCAAGGCAGGCACATAAATGTAAGACAAACAAAAATAGTCTCAAGAAGAACTTCTTGTAAAGTGGGGCTGAGCATCACAGGCAGGGACCTCACGATCCCTGAGACTCAGAAGCCCCAGGTCACATGGTCCCATGAAAATCACAAGAAAGAGTGAGTCTTGGTACTGGAGTCTTGGTACTCAGGGGGGGAAACTCAGCACTCTGTTCTCAAGTGCACGGCTTCCCGGGTGAAATGAGGCTTCCCCTGAGTGGTCCATCTGGGTTACCAGTGTCACATATCACACAAGGTCAGAAAGGGCCACCCAGCTTTTCCCCCATCAGCCAAGGACTTTGAGCCGAGCAACAGGGGTGGTATCGTGCCCAGTCTCGAGAGAGCTCAGCGGCAGCTACCGTGAATCCTAGCGCATCTCTGAGAGGTAAAGAAATGAGGACTGGGGTCCTCTCAGGAATCCCGACAGCCAGAAGAAAGCACAGCCCTTAAGGACACACGTGTTCTCCACGGCTCTCGACAGATGGGCTGTAGCCTTCATGTGCCCAGGATCCAAGCTTGGCTCCATGGTCGATAGTTTAAGTAACAAACAGCAACAACAAAGTACCATCCTACAGGGTGAGCAGCAGACACAGCTTACCCATGTGTGCTCACCTGCACACACACACACACACACACACACACACACACACACTCACTCACTCACTCACACAGGGGATATCACAGATACAGATGAGACCTGCTCCCGTCCTCCACCCTTTCTGTGACCAGGGTTTGTGGGAGAAATCCCCATCCTTGGCTAACATCCGCTGCCCAGCAGGTGCAGCTAAGGGGCAGGGGACCAAGAAGAAAGGGGAAGGAGATCGAAAATAGTAGAAGCTTTGCTTGGCTTCTCCCCTCCACCCCATCCTCAGCTTCCCAGACCCAAGCAATGTGGCCCTTATAGTGAGGCAAGGAGTGGGTGGCTCTGAAGACAGGCGCCCTCTCCTTCCTGAGAGAAACATTCCATGCATTTCTCCGCCTTCCAACCTCTCTCTCCGGCCCTAGGCCTTTTTCGAAACTTCGGACTCATATATGTCCCCAGGGCACGCATGACTGGCCACCAGAGAGGAGAGAAATAGCACAGGTACAATTAACATGGCTTCCATTCCCAGCAGGGGAAGCCCAAAGATGCCATCTAGTCACAAGAAGCCCCAAAGCCACTCAGGAGCAGAGTGCCCTGGGTTTGGACGCCTGCTGCTCTAAATCCACCCTGGGCATTTACGGTGGGCTAATCTGTTCCAGGCTGCCCCGGGTGTACAGCGTACACACCGGAACTCAAGGTGTGTGCGAAAATGGCGCAAAGTAACATTTGAGTTTATTACGTATTTTGTTTTGCTTTTTTGTTTGTTTGGTTTTTTTTTTTTTTGAGACAGGTTCTTGGCCCCAAACTTACAGTCCCCTGCTTCAGCCTTCTGAGAGATAAAATGACAAGTGCCCCCATCATCCTTGGCTCAATTTATGTATTTATTTACTGTTTATTTATTTAGGTTTTATTTTTGTTTTGTTTTTCGAGGCAGAGTTTCTCTATGTAGTCTTGGAGGTCTTGGAACTTGCTCTATAGACCAGGCTGGCCTCGAACTCACTGAGATATTCCTGCCTCTGCCTCCTGAGTGCTGGGATTAAAGGTGTGCACCACAACCCTGGCTCATTTTTAAAATACCAATATCACTAACTCAATATTGTAGACTGGAGTTATATATAAATATTTCTATCATTAATTTCACTGGTACCCTTTGAGAATAAACTCTCTGGGTGCACAGATGTGGTATATTCATGTGCATGCATGTGCCTGTAGCAAACACATGTGGAGGCCAGAGGCCAACATCTAGTTCTTCCTTTGTCTCTTAAGATTGGGGCTGTGGATTCAGAGAGACTAGCCAGTCAGCTCCTGGGGATCCTCTTGTCTCTGTACCCTAGAGCTGAAACTACAGGTGTGTGGGGGTGCCAAGATCAAAACTCAGGCTTTCATGGTTGTATAGCAAGCACCCACTAAGTCATCTCCCTAGCACTCTTACAGTGTTTTTAAATATCATATAGTATCTCAATAAAATATTGTTATTGATATTGACTTTCCTATTGAAATGACAATTTTTCAGATTTAGTAAAAACTACAATTGATTTCACTAGGGTCCTGACACCGAGAATTTTAAATCACAGGTGTATGTGTGTGTGCGTGCACACAGCTTCAACCTCCCATATGCCTGGCATAGCGGTCCACACTTGCAGGCCACATTTTGTCCCTGTGAAGGACAGTCACACCCCAGGGGATGCACAGCTAAGCTCAGTCACCTTTTCCTACCAGCTTTCCTTCTCTCGGGGACTAATGGGCATCTCAGGCCAAGCCCTGTCTCCCTAAGAACTGAGCTTCTCCCATCTTTACCTTTTCTGCCACCCAAGTCTCTCACCTGGGTCCCTTAACACCTGCTAAGACCCTATCACTGCCCCTACAAAAGTCCCCCAATTCCTCCCAAGGCACTTCCCCTACAGAAAGGAACACTGACCACCCTGGGGCTCATTCGGCTCTATTGTCTGTCTGTCTGTCCACCGGCTTCTCCTGGGGTTGTAAACTAAAACCCCTTTCTGGAGACCAAGGATAGCATGAGAGAAGATAGACCTGCCCCAGTTCTTTCTTAGCAGAAGTGACACAGGGTGCCTGAGATGAAGATGCCTGCATACAGATAAGCAAGGCAGCAGAAATAAGAGCAAGGGCAAGTCACGATTGTCACATTGGGAAAGAATCTCTTACTAGTGTTGCATGGGGGGAAAACAGTGACTCAATCAAGACAGAAAGCTCCATAGGACGAGAGTCAGGATCTGCGGTCAAACAACGTGGATGTTAAATCTGAGCTAGTCTCATCCTTAGGTTGAGAGCAGACAGTAGAGAAGACAGAGCTTTAGAGTAGAGGCAGGGGAGGGGCACGGAGCAAAAAACAACCAATTCCAGTCATTCCCACCTCCGCTCACTCTCTCCCCTCCCACCCCACCCTGGGACAATCACACAAGGTGGGGGATAGGTTTAGCAGGTGCTCTTACCCCCACTGGATGGTGGGCCACTCGGGGAGGTCCTCTCCATCTCCTCAAAGGCCTCCTTGTAGCTATGCAGATGGGGCTGCAGGAGAACAGAAGGGCAGAGAGAAGGAAGTCCTGAGGAGAGGCTCCTTTTCACGTGATCCTGGGCATGGGACAAGCAGCTAGGCAGCCCACACATTCCCTCTCCAGCCTGACTCTCCACCTCGCCCAGGGAGGCCCAAATGCTGGCCCCTCGCCGCCTCAACCACTCCTTGTTGGTGGCTAAGTGTGGGGAGTGGCTGTTTGCAAGGCCACAGTAAGGCCTGGGCAGAAGAATTTCAGAACAGGGACGCAGGGCTGTGTTGTGCTGGAGTCTCTGTAGGAGCATCTGGAAATGAAGGGATTTAACAAACTCCCTGGCAGTTCTTCTGTACACAGACGTTCAAGACCCACTGCCTCTGACTACTGACATGTCTCAGCAATGGAATCATTTGGGCACAAAAATTAAACCTCCTAAGAAGAGTCTCATTTCTCCAAAGTTCAAAAAGACGCTTGCTTGTCAGTCTATCTGACCAACTTTGGACTGTAAATCTTGGGGTCATGTATGCTCCCTTGAGGATGCTTATCGAGGAGGGAACTTCAGTCAGTGTTAAAGCAAGTAGCTGGGGCACAAATGCTATTGAAGAGAGGAGACCTTGGGTGAGGATGCAGGGAGGGAGAAATTGCTACATTTACTGATGAAGTACTAGCAGTTGATCCTCAAGCTCCTGGAGATGCACCACGGACTCTGCTTTCTGCTGTGGCCCCAAGACTCATCAGCTCCAGGACTCACCTCTTTGGGCCTCCCTCCAGGATTGAGGGCAATGGTGAGAGCCAGCTCAGGGGAGACGCATTGGACGGGGGAGCGGACCCCAGGACTACGGGGGGATGTGGCCTCTGGAGACTGGTTCTCATACTGTCCATCACTGGCTGCTCGCCTCCGCAGCGGGGCTGGGGGCTCTGCAGGCTGCCTCTCCCGAGCCTGAACCCCTGGGAGGAAGGGCAGGACATGGAGAGCAATGAGCAGACTAAATAATGATGCGATCCCATCAAACACCCTCCCTCACACAAAGGCAACACCTCAGCCCAGGGGTTAAACTGGGATGAACCACATCCCCTCAGGCCCTCACCACGCCTTCCTGTCCCCAACTCAGCTCAGACCCTAAACTTCCCCTAGTGTCGGGGCAGGGGTGAGGGTAGAGGCCGCTTAGCCTGGGCTCTGCCTTCAAGACGAGTCTCTACTCTGTATAGAATTTGGACCAAGAGCACAAAGGATTGATACAAGAAACAGATGTCGGCTCCTTCCAGCCCCCAGAGGCAAAAGGCCAGAGCTTCCAGAGGAGGGAGGGGAGGGTCTCCAAGGCAACTGCATCAACCAACAAGCAACATGGAGCCTTTGGGAAGGACTTTTGGAAAGGGCTAAATTGCATCATCTCACACATGGCGCTCCCAGTGGGAAACAAAAGAATGACCAAGTCACACTCTGGAGTCTCCAGCCACAACTGGCTTCTGTGGTGGATTTGATCTCAGGGGTTTTCTGGCTTTCATCCAGTGTACCCCTGAAACCTCTAACCAACTTCCCCTACAGCAGCCCCTCGCAGCCCCCTTCCTCTTGGCAACCCGCGGGGGCTGTGGCCATGGCAGAGGCCAAGGCTCCCACCATACCTTACCCTGGCAAAGGGCAGGAAAGTGAGAGCAAGGGGCTCCTTCTTCCTGCCCCCACTTCCTGTCTAGCCCACTACAAAGGCTGCCCATGTTAGCCTCACCCTGCCTCCTCCCCATCTTTTCTCCCCACAGCTGGGCCAGGGTATGGAATCTATTATTTCACTGTGCTGGCTTCCAGAACCCTAGAATATTGACTTCCCAGGTCCCAGGAGCCAAGGCCCAACCCTGAGAGTTGGAGCCTAGGCTTAATTATTTTAAATTCTCATCTTTGCCTTCATCACCACCGAGAATTAACTAAGGGGCTTAGGTCACATGAGCTTGGGACATGAACACACATCTGGGTCCACCTCCTTAGTCACAAGAGGCAGTGTGTACATGTATACATACATGTATAAACACACACATGCAACACTGGCCCTTGGGAACACAGCCAGAACAGCCTGGTGGGACTTGCCCTTATGTAGCCCGAATCCCCTCTCATCCTTTATAGTGGGATCTATACAGTCCAAGTGGTCCCAAACCCTTAGTTTCCATAGCCACAAATGGTTGCCATGGCCTACACTACCCAGGAAGCCTTCCTGGTTAATGTAAACAGAAAAGTGCTGACTGGGGCAGGCAGAGCTGCCTCACTCACACACAGTGACTGTGGTGCAGATGCGCATACTCTATGGCAGAGGCTCTGGGGACCTATCAAGGGCTAGCAAGACCAGCTGCCAACAGTACAAGTGAGGTGCAAAAGGTGGAAGGCAGACCAGAGTCTCCACTCGGTGCTGTGACTCAGGCAGCCCTGCCTACCTGCACAATGGAGACCAAAACAGACAGCATCCTGCTGGTCCCAAACTGCTCTGCTCAAAGCAAACAACCCCTTAACCTCAGAATGCCCTGCTTTCCAGAAGAGAGAGAAAAAAAGAGGGTGTGTCAATCCTGAGCAGGGGCTGCTGGGAGAATCTACAGGGAGTAGAAAGAGGAGGCGGCCAGCTCTGGACATCTGGAGCCACCCCAGACACTGCCAGCAACTCTAGGCTCCCAGAACTCAGGCAGCTTCTGGCCTCAGGCCCTCTTCTCTTTCCTCCTGCCAGGCCCTGCCAAACTCAGGCCTCTGGGACGTGTGGGCCAGCCCTAGCCCCACTTCTGGGTTCATTCCTGGCAGGAGCATTAGAGGCCACTGCTTTTCTAATAACGTTATGACAAAGGAGCAACTTCACAGAAGTTCTGGGGTGTGGAGTTGAATTCAGCCCCAAGGTGGAAGGAAATGCCTAAGAGCTGCCTTTGGTTCCAGTGGTACACCCCCCCCCCCCGACATACACTCCACCACCATAGTCTCTGGCAATCTCTCCTCTTTTTCAAGAGTAGCCTCTTCTTTGTTTGGGGGTCCTGTGCTAGCTTTTAGAAAGGAGGCCTGTTTCCATTGGAGGCACCCTCTAGGAGGGACAGAGAACATTCACACCCATCCTTTCCTGGCATCCTCCAGGCCCGGGGCCATAGGACAGTAGTGAGGACCAAGGCTGCTCTACGTGTGTGGTGGGCCACCAGCAGAGGACACAGACCTGCCCAAGGTAGATGGGCACTTGAAAGCAAGCGTAACTGAGTCACTTCAGCTCCCTTCCCTGTCACTGCCAGGATGGCAATGGGAGCTCGCTCTGCCCAGGGGCTGTGGTTGAACCAAATGATCTCCAAAGAGCAAGGAGACTATGGATCTAAGTTTCCCTTTACAGAAGAGGAAAGACCCCCACATTGCACTCCCACAGGGCAGACCATTCCCAGAGAGTGGTCTATGGCACCAGCAGCCAGTCAGGGCACTCAGTCTTGGAAGACAGTGTCTCACTGTTGTCCCTTGGCAAGACCATAGCTAACCCAGAGTGCCTGGAGAGCTCTTTCTATGAGAGGGAGCCTGACACAGTAGAGAGGAGAGAACAGCCTCATTGTTCCTCAGCCAAGTGGTGACTCTGGACACCAGCTGACAGCCAGGGAGAGAGAGAGAGAGAGAGAGAGAGAGAGAGAGAGAGA